CGTCCTGGGCAAGGCGGGGGTCCTCCCGGCGATCGGCAGCGCGGCCCAGGACACGTCAGTCTTACCACTTCCGCCCTCAGCGGCGGGGACCTCAGCCTGGCGGAAAGCTCGTTGCATTGAATGTAGAGGGCCTTAGACGCTGCAGCCCCTAGGGACCCCTTCGCGACGGCTTCCCGGGGAGGGGGCTGAGGCCTGGCAGCCAGGACCCTGACGCCCCTTCGGGAGAGGAGTGGCATCTAGGCCGCTCGCTTGCTCCGGGAAAGATTTGGGGTTTGAGAGCTCTTGGCCAGGAGGCTCGCCCTGGCTGAGGCCCGAGAGGTGTACCCGCAGGCAAGAGCCTAGCGAGGGCCGGGGAGATGGAGCGCAGGCGGCGGCTTTGTTCGAGGCACTTGCCGGCTGAACCACCAGCTGCTGAGCCCTGCGAGGCGGTTCGTGGTCCCCCAACCGGGGAAGGGGCTCCGGACATCTGTCCCATGCAAGGGTCCCACCGTCTGAATCTCACCTCACTCCTCTCCCACCTGTCACGAATGGCCCGCGCCAAAATAATAAATATGTAATAGGAATGTCTTCCAGAGGCTATGCTGGAGACTTCCCTGGCCGCACAGTTAGCGTTCAGTGCCCCACCATAAGCAAGCCGAAACCCGGTCTGGCGCAGAGGCGCCCAAGGAGAGAGGGTGTCTGTCCTTTCACTCTCTGAGTTGGGCAGCCTGACACGGTTATTGTTAATTGGTAAAGTATCTCGCGGTCCGTTAGTCTTCTTCTATGTTTTTGTTCTTATTTATCACTGTGTATGTCTTTGGGCTTCTCTTAACTTTGTATGGCAGATTATTTTGAAAAAGTTTACCCTTGTGTTTATCTCAGCGATTTTAAAGGGGATCTGCCGTCTAGGAGTTCCCCTTGAAAATTGGACCTTTGAGTAGTGACTTCTGTTTTGCCACCTGGGAGCAACGTGTAAGGAAGTGGACTTAAGGTTCTCTCTCCCCAGGAGAAGAAGCACAGTGGAAAAATCACAAATGACTTCTGGCCTGAAAAGCCCTTAATTTACCTGCTTCTACAATTACTGCCCTTTATGACCCAGTTCATCTCCCTGCAGACATAGGTGAGGGTCAAATAAGTAGATAGTGGAGTTTTTTAGACAATCAGTGAATTTTGTAATTAGAAAAAGAACTGAGGTCGGGCACAGTGGGCTCACACCTGTAATCCCAGTGTGTCCGAAATTGGTGGGTTCTTGGTCTCACCGACTTCAAGAAGGAAGCCGTGGACCCTCACATTGAGTGTTACAGTTCTTAAAGATGGTGTGTCTGGAGTTTATTCCTTCAGAGGTTCAGATGTGTCTGGAGCTTCTTCCTTCTGGCGGGTTCGTGGTCTTGCTGTCAGGAGTGAAGCTGTAGACCTTCGTGGTGAGTGTTACAGCTCTTAAAGGAAGTGCCTCAGGAGTTGTTTGTTCTTCCCGGTGGGTTTGTAGTCTTGCTGGCTTCAGGAATGAAGCTGCAGACCTTCGCCTTGAGTGTTACAGCTCATGACAGCATGGACCCAGAGTGAGCAGCAGCAAGATTTATTACAGAGTGAAAGAACAAAACCTCCACAGGGTGGAAGGGGACCCCAGCGGGTTGCCATTGCTGGCTCGGGCAGCCTGCTTTTATTCCCTTATCTGGCCCCACCCACATCCTGCTAATGGTCCATTTTACAGAGAGCTGATTGGTCCGGTTTGACAGAGTGCTGATTGGTACGTTTACAATCCTTGAGCTAGACACAGGGTCACAGAGTGCTAGTTAGCTAGATACAGTGTTAGCTAGATACAGAGTACCAATTGGTATGTTTACAAACTTTGAGCTAGACACAGAGTACTGATTGATATATTTACAAACCTTGAGCTAGACACAGAGTGCCGATTGGTGCATTTACAATCCTTGAGCTAGACACAGAGTCAGAGTGCTAGTCCTCCAAGTCTCCATTCCGTTAGCTAGATACAGAGTACCAATTGGTGTATTCACAAACCCTGAGCTAGACACAGAGTGCTGACTGGTGCACATACGATCCTCCAGCTAGATATAAAAGTTCTCTACTTTTTTTAAAATCAGGATTCTCAGGGGAGGGGTTACCTGGTCATCAGCATTTTCTTTTCTTTTTTTTAAAGCAAGCACTGAGGCCGGGCTCAGTGGCTCACACCTGTAATCCCAGCACTTTAGGAAGCCGAGGTGGGTGGATCACCTGAGGTCAGGAGTTCGAGACCAGCCCGGCCAACATGGCGAAACCACGTCTCTACTAAAAATACAAAACAATTAGCCGGGCATGGTGGCTTATGCCTATAATCCCAGCTACTTGGGAGGCTGAGGCAGGAGAATCGCTTGAACCCGGGAGGCGGAGGTTGCGGTGATCTGAGACTGTACCATTGCACTCCAGTCTGGGCAACAAGAACCAAACTCTGTCTCAAAAGAATAAGTAGTGATTTTGTTTTCGTTGTTTTTTTTTTTTTTTTTTTTTTTTGAGACAGAGTCTC